CCACTCACTGTCCCTTCCTCTCCCCGCGCCCTCGGGCCGCAGCCGCCGCAGCCTCCAAGCGGAGAGAGAGCCCCGAAGGTGAGCGGGCGGGCGGCGGGGCACGGGGCTGCCCTGGCCGGGACCCGAGCCCAGAGCCCGGGGCGCGTCCTGCCCTGGAGCCCTGGGGGGATGGGGGAACGTTGAGCGGGGTCTCGGGCGCGCGCAGGTTCCCGCCCCCCGCCCGGCTGCCCTGCACCCCCGGCCGCGCGGAGATGCGGTGGGCGCGCCGGGCGGCGGGACTCCGCCAAGGCGCAGCGCCCGCGGGGCTTACGCGTGTCTCACGCGTGTCTCCTTCCCTCCTCGGTGCCCGTTTCCCGCGCGTCCGCTTGCCGGGCCGCAGGGGACAGCTTCGTGGTGTCCGCGTTCGCCAGTGGCCGCAAAGGCATGGAGGAGGTGGAGCGGCGCGGCGGCGGCGGGGAGCACCGCGTGCGGGACAAGCAGGTAGGCGTGGGGGCGCTGGGCCGGGGGACGCGGGTACCGCAGTTGCGCCCGCTGGCGCGGACTCGGGACCAAGAAGGCCACAGGCCACGGGCCGAGATGGCTGGGCAAGAGAGACGCCCGCTGGGCGGAGAGAGCCCGTCTAGCCCGGCCTCAGTCTCAGGCGGGGGTCCTGTGTCCGGCCTCGCTATCTGAGGCTGGGGCTGGGGGTTGGGGGCTGGGGCCAGATTCCCTGTAGGATCGATCAATCGCTCAGCAAAGATGGCCGGAGTAGTGCCTCCCGTCTGCGGGGCGGGTGACCACCGGCCTGCAGGGCGGCTCATGGGAAAGACGGGCTCCAGGGGGACAGCGGGGCCACCCAGACTGCAGGTGCTGTGATGGGCCACCCGGGTCCCACTCAGGACGCAGGAGTCCCTGAGGGTGCTTTTGGAAGGTGCTGGCGTCCAGAAGCAGAGAACTGCCCAGGCCTGGGGCTCCAGGGGGGCCTTGGGTAAACTCAACCCACAAGTGTTTGCCAAACAGGAGAAGGCGGAGGTTGGGTGCTTATGGCATTGGTGTCGATGGCCACACCAGATGTTGAGACCCCTACTCATCCACTGCTGGGCCCCCAGCCCCCCAGAGTCCACTGACGCAGGGCACCGCCTCATGGGTCATCAGCTCCCTTTTTGGAAGTTCATTCTTCTGGCCGGTTGATAATGGAAAGTTCTGAGCGCATCTGTAAACGCTTGTGTGGCCTCGTCCTGAGGAGGGGCCCAGATGTGCCCCAAAGTCGGACCCATTCTAGAGTTACGGTTCATGCTCTCTGGGAGTGAGGTTTCAACCCCACACTGTAAAGGTGGGGAATATGTCTTCTGGGTTCATCACAGTCAGGTTGGATGGACGTGTGCTCCTTCGTACCCGGGACCAGGGCTGGCCGCCCAGGGAGCAGCCCAGGCCCATCTCTCTCCCTTCTTTCTGCTGACTCTGTTTGCCCCAGGGAGGTGGGAGGTCAGACAGCGGGCTGGTGCCTCTTCTCAGCTTGGTTCTGTGTGTAAATTCGGGACAGGCCAGAGCCGGGGTGGGCATAGGCCTTGTGGTCAAGGGCTTAGGCTGGCCCCTGTTTTGCCGTCCATCCAGCCTGGGGGCCTTCTCCCTGGGGACAAGGGCATGCTGGACCTGGCACCGTCCACTCAGTCCTTGGAATTCTCGGGTGAGTGCACACATTTGTTCAGTACAGGGCAGTGATGTAGCCAGGGTTCCGACACACCCAGACGGGTTTCCCCTGGGCTGTGGGGCGTGCGGAGAGTGTGAGAATGCACTTTGAGAGTGCAAATGCTCCTGTGTTGCTGCGAGCCTACAGAGCTGGGAGTGTGACGGTCTTTTAGGCCCACAGATTCCACACTCTGGGGACATTTTTTGAAGAGTGGTGTGGGGTTTGGCTTGGGTTGTTCCCTCTGTACTTTGCCCTCTGCTGTCGTCAGGAGTGTGTCCCCCAAATCCATATGTTGCAACCTAACTCACAAGGTGATAGTGCTGGGGGCGGGGCCTTGGGAGGTGATCAGGTCACCAGGGCGGAGCCTCAGCTGGGGTTTAGTGCCCTTCTAGGAAGAGGCCAGAGAGGCGGGTCCCTGCCCCTCTGCCACGTGAGGTTACCACCAGGAGACACCAGCTATGGGTCACAAATGGGCCACACCAGACGCCGACTCTGCCTGCACCCTGACCTCAGACCCCAGCCTCCGGCATTGTGGGAAATAAATGTCTGTTGTGTATGAGCTGCCCGGGCCGTGGTGTTTGTTACAGAAGCTCTGGTGGACTGGACACCCTCAAGTCCGAAAGGAAAGTCCTTTAACACCAAATGTGGAGAAAGCCAGGGCTCAGGGGGCAGGTGGTTCTTCACTGGAGACGTCTCAGCTTGAAGATAACGGCACTCCACATTTGCCTTGTTCGGCCGTGAGCCTGCGAGCCTCTGGAGTTTAGACCCACTGGCCCAGGGCCCTGCACACAGCTGTCCTCATCGCCACCACATCGCTGCTCCCTTGCTCGCCAGGCATCACCGGGCACACACTGGGCAGCTCCTGCCCGGGTCCAGCCGCGTCCCTCCGCCCCTGCTCCTGGTTCTGCCCTGGAGGTCGCTCAGTTGGGGCGTTTGAGTGTTGACCCCTGTGTCTCTCCTGTTTGCAGCCCAGTGTCCTGTGCCCTTCTCTCTGCATAGTGGCCACAGCTCCGTCCGTCGTCCCTGTCCTTCAGGTGATGACCCGAGGGAGGCCGGCACACACAGTGACGTCTGATGGCCAGTGAGGGGATGTGCTCCTCCCTCTCTGCTTCCATGCAGGCCACGCTTGGTGCGCCATGTTGTCACAAGAGCTGTGGCAAGTGCCCTTGTGGAAATTAAAGCATGTCCACCACCTGACTCTCACTGCCCCCCACCCATAAAATAAAGGAAATGAGCTTGGTTTTCCCCATTAATTCTTAGTGTGCCATGCGAGCTCCTGGTGCCTGGTTAGTGCACATCTAAGGAAAACTCACAAATGTTAGCATTTGCCAGGCAGGCAGACTGCCTGCTTCATGGTCTAGAATGGTCTTCCTCGTCAATTCTGAGGAATGCTGCAGTTTGGTCTTGGCAGGACCTGCATCGCTTGATTGCCAAGTTCCACCAAAGGGCCAGTGCTGTGCCAGGGTGATGGGGGTGTTGGCAAGAGGGGCACGGAGGATCTAGGGAGGGGACTACCTGAGGTTGTCCATGCACCAGAATTATGAGAAGTGGCAGGTGATGGCACCAGCAGCACTTGGCAGTGCTGTTTCTAAAGATGAGACCAGGGCCACCCCGTGGCGTCGCGGTTAAGTGCACGTGCTCCGCTGCTAGCCCAGGTTCGGATCCCGGGCGCGCACCGATGCACCGCTCGTCAGGCCATGCTGTGGCGTCCCATATAAAGTAGAGGAAGATGGGCACAGATGTTAGACCAGGGCCAGACTTCCTCAGGAAAAAGAGGAGGATTGGCGTGGATGTTAGCTCAGGGCTGATCTTCCTCACAAAAAAAAATAGATAAATAAAGATGAGACCAGCCTCGGAGCAGAGGGCTCACGGCTAC